GCGGAATTTTTGAATACTCCTGCCGTTCGCATCGGCGCCAGAGGGCAACAGTCATGTTGCATATTTATGTCGAGATAGTACTCGCTCGAGTCATGGAAACATCGACATTCCCCCGCGTGTATACATTCGGGATGAAAGCACTCGGTGGTCCAATCAGCTCGCATCTCCGTATTGAAATCGGAACTGTCCGCGTTGTAATCCTCTCGATCACAGATATGATATTCTTGACGCTTGTCGTTAAAAATTGAACAGCTGTGATTCGCGGTATATTTCCTCGCATTCACACACGTTTGTACCATGTTCAATTCCGGATATCGTGCGTTATTAATATCAATCGGCGCACTGCCATTATCATGGCAGCATTTTGTCGAATCAAGAATCTCGTCGGTCATACAAGACAATTGTACTAAATTATCCTCTACATACAATTCTTTTTCGCTTAACGTATTTTTCAGTTGGTTCGGTATATTAATAGTCGTATTGACATCTGGACGTGATTTGTTATCCGTTAATTTGCTTTTACGATTCTGGCATTTGCGTTTTGCCGATTTTCCAGCTTTTTTTATTTTACCGCAGTTCTCGGTACAAAATACGGCCAGCACAGAACTGTCAATTATTTTATTCATCGTTTTCTTTCTCAAACTGCGATTCCGCATTAAAGATCGCAGATATCTCCTGAAAAAAATTGAGATTTATAAGATTTTAAAAGAATCAACGAATTCTTTTATAAAACTTTTTTTATTGCATTTGACAAAAAATCCATACTTTGATACTGTACTCAACTTCGTTTTAGGGACTAGATTATGCATGGAAATAATATTGATTGTAATGCCACTATGAGAAGTATCGTAAATATCCTTGTTAAGATCTATGATAACTCCTTTGGGCATTTTGCGACGCGTTTCTCTCTTACAATTCGATTTGCATCGAGATTCATCTTCGTTTCTTAATAAAGTACCATCATTCTTGACTGTTTCCTTGCGAGATTCGTTTCGTATCATACTATTGTAAGATATGCACATTTCAGCGTGGTGATCGTTCGCGAGCTCATCAATCTTCTCTTGATCCAATTCAACGGCGCATATTTCATTCGAAGAATCGTCTCCATAACTTTTATCCAGTAACTCGACTTCGCTCTGTTGCGAAAATATGAACGCCTCGTCGGGATACAAAAACGGATTATTTTCGTGTCTGCGATTTTCGTTTCCACCTTGCGGCATCTCTGCCACTAGCTTGGCCATCGAAATTTCCGATCGAACGAATCGCTCGGCATAACGGCTGCAAAATCGGTACACAAGCGGATTATTAACACATACGTTTATCTCGAATCGCTGCGCAATAATCAGACAGTTGGACGATCACACGGCGACAATTATCTGCAAAATCTCCGTATCATGGAGTGGATAAAAACAGCGCGCGAATGAGTAATGACTTTTAAACGGCGAATCGTAACGAAGGAACGGAAGTGCGAAATCGCGTTACAACGGAGTAACCCCCCGTGCTTTAAAACAATAATTATCATGCACGCCCGCTATTGTGTGCACGCTGTTATACATTACCGTTGCATCACACTGTGAAATTATATCGTTCCCTCTTACGTTGCCGCGGTGAATCGAATCTCGAGTGCGACATTGAAATGCAAATTGACCGGATTGGAATGCGCACTGGTAAATTTTGAATGTAGCGAGGTTAATTGCCGCGGTCGTGCAGCTCTGATGCCGAAAGTTTGGTTACTTTAGCGTTGGCACTCGGAAACAACGGAATGTGACTCACTGCGGTTGATGCACAATGCGAGCGTTATTTCTATTGATATACACTCGTATCCTCAATTTTTCTTTTTTAAGATCAGCCATTCTGCTGATTCTTTTCCAATTTTACGATATTATACACATTACGTAAGATTTAAAACGCGACGAAATTATTTTCGAATTAAAATTGATATATATTTTATGTATTATGTACATATGTATATTAATATTTCAAACTCTTTTAAATTTTCATTAAATTCTACAATAATAATCTCGTTTGTCTGTAATTGACGCAGCTAATGCACGCTAAATCTAAAATATTTATGACAAAAATATACATTTGCGAAACAGAAAAAATACTGAGTACCCGCATTTTGAGCTCTTTCGCACATGTGTGGCTCTGGCATGCAACAAAATACATTTTTTCTCCGAGTGTTGCAATTTTCCATTATTTACGTCGGTATAATCCGACGGCGCGCATCAGGTTGAAAGCCAGCGTAAAATATAATACGCGCTTTTGTAATTTGACTGTCAGTTGCAATCGGTCTGCCCGCAGTAGTTATATTTGCAAAAGAACGTAATAGGCTTTATGGAGAGTATCTTTTTTCCACGAGACTATATGTGCAACGCAGTATACAATGCTATCGCGCTTTTCTCAATTATATAAAGTACAGATAATTTTCATTGATTTATGGAAATTGTTGGATAATCCAATACAAGAAACATAAAGGGGCGGTGATTATTTCAAAGTGATATAATAATCCAAGATGCAAAATTTTTGAATACAAACAATGTGTATGACGCAAATTCGAGACAATAACATCAGCCAACCGTTTATCGTGTAAGATCGAACGACATTGTCGCCGTCATTTCGCGCAACGATTTTCCGGCTGCGCGACGAGCGGCTGGATTTTACGTCGCGTTACAGCTATTGCGGCTTCACGTATGCATGCATGTACCGACTCGCGCGCTCTGGCAAAGCCGAAAAGAGCGACGTGGGTTGACGTTGAAGCGACGGGAGGACTGTCGCGCGCAGTGATGGATGTCGGCAGGCTTAAATTTCGCGAAATTCCGTGCTCTCCACCTCGCTGCCGCTATTTCCAGCCGGTTTCTCATTCTCTCTTTCTCACTTTTTTTCTCTTTTTCTCTCGGCGTTTTCCTCTCGCTTTCTCATATTGCGCTGAATAAAAACATATAATACTGGCGAACTTCCGAGGGTCGTAAGATGCCTCCTTTACAAATTCCTATTTTGGCATCCTTCAACGGCTTTTCAAAATTCGTGAGCGTTTTTCACTATATGTATATTCAAATCTGCCCTACAG